GAAGAACGCACTTTATTCCACAAAAAAAACGCTTTCCGGGATTCTATGATATTCTTTCCGAAAATTATAGGATAGACGAAAAGAGAAAAAACGGTAACGCACAGAGATTCCGGTAGCAGAGTTACGCGTTTTTCATGTAGAGTGATGTTTGGTTCTGTCCAAAAGATATTGTTATTGCGTTCATACAAATTTCAAACTTACTTTTATTAATTTAAAATGATATTAAGACGTATAAGGAATATTTAAAAATAAACTAACGAATAGATGATCTTGTTATTTTCTAACTGTTTCTTTCTTTTATACAGGATGTCCGATACATTTTTTGTGTTTGAATGATTGTGTGATAAATAGATACGAGAAGAAATAGGATATATAATAAAGAAAGATCGCGAGATGTGTGCGTAATTCATCCTATAATCATGAGAGAAAAAATGTGTTTAAAATCTTATAAAGATTTTATTACCTTTTCAGCATTGATATTCATGTTCAAAGAAAAAACAAAAAAGAAGATTATTTATCAAAGAAAGTGGAAACAAAGAAACTCATTCTGCTGAAATAGCACTTATCGTTCTTAATTTTCTCTTGTTTCATCGTGCAAACAAGTAGAATAACTAATTTCAATTCAAAAATGATCATGCAAAAAGAAACAATACTCCTCATACACAATACTCCTCATTTCACACTACTAACTTCAGAACTAAAAAACGTAATTCATAACACACGAACACAAAAGAGCTTTTTTTCTACTCTTGTTTCCAAAAGAGTACGATGGAGTTCATACTGGTTGTTTTCATGAACGTGTAACTTTCAGAATTTGATTAAACATTATCAACGCTTCTTATTCACTTGATAGTAAAGTACGGAATCTGTATAATCAATCAAACTAGTTATTAACAACACATTTCTTCTTGCCATGATCTACACAGTGATAACGTTGAGCCCAGCATTTGAAAAGAACATCCAATATTTGAATGTGAGATCAAGCATAATATACAATAGTATCTACGCAAGCGTCCACAAACTACAAATGATATCAAATTTTAAAGGTTACGGATTTCTGTAAGGACTTTAAATCTCTATTCGCATTTCCCCGTTCAGAAACATACTATCTTAGGGACGATTGATCATCTATAGTGCGTAATATCGTCATAACCTCCTGATTTTACCTGGCTTTATTATCTAAAACATCATAAACAATTAGCTTAGTCTTTTATATGTATGACGTGAAATATAAGGTTATATGATACGATCTTTACTTTATACGTTTTTTTTCTTCAAACGGATGTTTTCTTCGTTTTCGTACAGGTGGTATGTTTTTTATAAGCCTCTGGCTTTTTATACTTACCATGTGTATAGGATTTGTGAAAAATTATTTTCTACACATAAAATAAAGCTCAGTTCAGATCTTTATTTGTCCAAAGCGGAAATATTTTCCGTTCGCGACATATGTCTTGTAAACGAACTGTTTATCTGTGGAGAGAACTAAAATAGTAGATATTATAATTATATTGTACAACGAATGGGTAGTTGGTGCGAGAGCCGAAGACAGCTTTATACCCCCTGACCCTTGAACTGTTAGTTTATTGCACGACTGTATCTGATGGGATCCTGCCGTTACATTGCATCGCTGCTGTATCGTTGTTCGTTCAAGTTTTAGTGAAAACTGGCTCCGCTAAGAATCACAGAATAGACAGATAGTTTGAAAGACAAGTATAGCCTTGACGGCATACAAAAGTTATAAGATAGTTTCGGTTAGACTCGCTGACGGCTGCTCAAGCGACAAGGACTAATCTGACACAGACAAAGTACTGCTTCTGTCCATCGATTGTAGTTGAAATAGAAAGAACACATAGAAAATATCAGTATGTCAACATATTAGCTTATATGACAATGCCATTTTTATAAATCTATCTAAATAATCTTCTCGAATAGTATATGAAGCAATTTTGAGCTTTTTTTCTGTGGCCAGAGCTTTACGCTCAAGACGATGAACTTTTGAAACTGATTTTTCTCTGTTTATCATATATTAGTTTATTATACTTAAATGACATATTCAAGCCGAAATCGAGGTATGAAAATCGAGAAAATGTCTTAGTGTATTTTCTGGATCTTCTAAATTTGGATAATGGCCAATATTCTCAGCTAATACACGAGTATCAGGTTTATCAATAATTTCTCGATACCTTTTTACCATATGTTTTCCACTAATTGGATCAAATGGTCCATCGATAAGTCTAATAGGAATGGGATTCTCATCAAGTGTTTGCACTTTGTTCATTGCATTGACCCATCGGTCTCTATGAGTAATTCGTTCATTAAGATAACATTGTAATTGCTGTAATAAATTGTATGGCGCATTGTAAAATAGCAAGCTAGTTATTTCATTTAATTCTTGTTCACTTCGTTTAGTTGTCGGACCAAAAACTCGATTAATTGCTGAAGCGAATAGTGATCTAGGAACTATATATTGAATTATTGCTCCGATAAAAGGTGTTTTCAGTAGTTTCATCATTATAAATGGATGATGAGCTTCTGGAAATAAGCCACCATTAAGAAATACTGTTGATTGAATTATATATTGTCTACGATCAATTTGTCTAGCTAATAGTTCTTGAGCAATTGTATCTCCTACATCATGTGCCAATATATGAAATTGACTCAAATTTAATGAACTCATCAATTGTTCAATCATATTTGCTTGCGAGAATATCGAGTATGCAAAAGATATTGGTTTAGCTGAGAGACCGTAACCCAGATAATCAGGAGCAATAATACGAAATCGTCGTTGTAACTCATCTAGCATGCACAACGAATCGATTGATGATGTTGGATATCCGTGAAGTAATAATAATGTTGGTTTTGATATAGCTGTTGTATCGGCTACGCTTGAATCATAATAAAATATTGGATAACCATCGAAATTGAAATACTTTCCCTGTTTAGCCCAGTTGAGAATTTTTGGAAAGCGATAAGGATTGATCGATTGAGTAAACAAGTTTTTTATCATGATCCCGACTATCACGATGATAACAATGAAAATGATAACGATAATATCCATAGATAATTTTAAAGGGAAGAATTCTTTCTTCACAAACAAATCTTAGGTGAAAAAATAGATTGAATTAATAAAGAAATGAGTCGAATAAAAATATTACAATTTCATCTCTCTAACTTTACTCATATTTCCAAAGTGAACGCTTAAAATCGAATGCGTAGTCGCTTTGAATTTCAATAGTGCTCATCAATAGAGTTATTTCTGTCTCAAACTGCATCTAATATGATCAAATAGACAAGTTAGTTAACCGATTTTAAACGAGATGAAAAAACAAAGTTTCTGGAATTCATTTCGAAACAATTAGAACATCGTATCAATATTTACGTGCACAAACTGTCAACGTTCACTCAGTTTTTATTTTCGTATTTATCGACTAAGCACACTGCATTGCTCAAGATGTTGTGATTAGGATTCGGTAAGTATTCTCTTGCTTAGTACCCATGTCATCAAAATTGCCTAACTTTTGTTGATTAATCGCCATTTTTCCACTGAGTTTCCGTAGTGACAAGCCAAAAAAGTCGCCGATACAGCAAACATCCTAGACTTTTTGAAATAGATATATCTATTTCAAAAAGTTCGGGATATTTTCTGAATAGCTTTGGAACAACAACACGCAGAAACCTGCGGAATTCTTTTTATTATAGCTAAGGAATGTGACCGCATGTTTTATGTTTCAACAATGTTCTGAAAAAAATTTGAATTCTACGTATATATTAGTCTTCTACAAGACTACTCAAGTTTGAGGCTGCTAGCTCTCAGCATTAAAGGAGAAGGAATAGTTCTGCTAGAACCTATGAATATCTCGTCCTAACGGTTGAGTACTCTTAAAAAGCATGCTGAAAAATTATCCATATTGTCTGTGATCCTAAATGGAGTCAGAAACCATCGTGCAGAAAACCAACAGCTAAATAGAGTGTCAATTTATTACAAGATCATATCAGATAGAGTCCTGCCGTTATATTCTATTGCTACTAAAGACATTGTTTGCTCAAATTGTAGCGAAAGCTGCCTACTCTTAGAATTAAAAAATAAATGAATAGTTCAGACATGTTGGTAATATTTCTCTTGATATTTAACTCAACAGAATGATATTATCAAAAATTTTTTCAAAAAATTCATTTTTTATATCTTGAATTTCTTGAATTCCTTCTCCTTTAAATTGCAATGTTTGTTGATTTTTCATAATATTACATCGCTTACAGAATATCATGAAATGTTCACATATATTTACAGCAAAACTATTCCTTCTTCTTGAATGGTGATCAGCACAATCTGACGTAGAGACTAACATCTATTCAGCTGTCGTAAAACGATTAAATGAACACTTAACTTCATGTGTGACGATCTCATCAAATGATGAGTCAGATACACCTGGTCGAAGTCGATTTTTAGAACATCGTTGAAATAAAACATTCTTTCGCTTGAATTCAAAGTGACATTATTCTATACCTTCGCATTTTACTTTTCGTCAATGTATTGAAGAACAGCTGAAGTGAAAAGAAAAACTATCTTTTTCTTTCCTCTGTGATGCACTTCTCACACCCGTATACCTTTTTTGTTCTAGTATATAAAAGATGATGTCGACAATATTCTCTTAACATACGAGAAGAAATAACACGTGCGGCATAGTTAGATGTATATGCACTGTGAATGAGAGAGGTTGAGACTAAATGATTCAAAAAACATGTAATTAGTCCGTGGACTCGAAACCATGAATATTTTTTTATTTTCCAGAATAAAACATGGATAACCTACGAATGTACTACTTTTTCAAAGTTACAAAGATGCATTAAACGAGAAGATTCAACCAGAGAAACTTATTAAATAATAAATAACTTTTAGGGTTAAAATATTGAAAAGATTCCTTTCCACTGTCTGTGTAACTATCGAAGACACCGCTATCGAGGTATAGAATCCGAAAATGGTTGAAGAAAAGACGCTGGTGTTCTTGACAATCCTCTTATTCTATCATTTCACTGTGTCGACCGGCACCTAATTCTTTTTTGTAGAAGAATCCGAAAGATATTTTACACTTTTATAGAAGACCCATCTCTCATTCTGAAAATACTATTTGTTCCCGTTATGTTCATCTTTGTGTAAAGTCGCTTTTTCATTGGTCGCAAAGTGCATTTGAATATAAAATCACTTTTTTAAGCAGCAATTTTTCAGCTGTCCACACATCAGACTCGTATAACAGAAAAGACTAATAAAAGGAAGTTCAATTACATTTTAACAATGTCCGTTGAAATAGACTTTTTCTTATTACAGGATGCCACCCGTTAAAACACGTTTGAATTTTCAAGGTTGCTAAACCAGTGTACCGTAGAGAATTTATCAGCCGATTTTTTTAGTGTATTTACTTTTTCCAAACTCCTTCTGGATACAAAGAACATGCCAGGCCAATATCGTCCAACGTTATAAATCATAAACTGCTGTGAGTCTAAAACACTAGGTCAAAATTTTCAAACCTACCCTTGGCTCACGCGGCATCGAAGATTAGGAGAATGTTCATAAATTGCATCATTACTGTTTTAGGCCTAGCTCCACGTTGAGATTTTGATATACAAATTTCTTTCATATTGTAATCGATTCGCCTTGAAATGAAGAACAAAAGTACGTTGACAGCTTAACGTAACTCGTGACTTCGCTGATCAAGTTTTTGAAAAATTATTTTAGAGTAGAACTGAAAGGAGCATATAACTAGATGCAGTTTTTGCCGCTGATTACGAATCTCACATTAGTTTTTTAAAAGAGTTAAATTTTGGCACCGAAACAAGTTTTACATTTTTTGAAAACTGTATTTTCAATTTTCTCACCTAGACACTTTTCCTAATAAAAATGGAAGGCTACACTAATCGATGGAGAATTCGATTCTCTACAAGATGGTATATTTCTTTTGAAGTTTAGGCTCAAAACAAGCTTTTTAAATAAAGTTTTAAGATTCTCACACAATTCTAAGACAGTGGAAACATTTTTTCAACTTTATTTTCACATTAGTCTATATTAAATGCCTAAAACTAAGTCCGATATGAAAATGAAATCCTTTGAGCAAAGTTTAGTACTCCAAACTTTGTTAGGAAAGAACGTCTATCACTGCGTCACGACGATAAAACACAATTATTGAGGGATGGAAAGGTCATTGGAAAGATACTTTTTTAGCAATCATTAACTCGTTCATTCCTCCACAAACTTTGCTCGAGGCGCTTTTTATTAGCTCTTTTATCTTTCTCAATTCGCAGCAAATTAGATACAGCGACATTACAGCGAACGACATTACCGCGAAGACTTGTTTGTTGGAAAAGCCGAATAAATGAGGCCGGTTTTGTATTTTGTACATCATATTTTCAAACTTAACTGACGTTATGTGGTGACTAGTCATTATCTGATACAGC